TCTCTCTACTTTTCTCTGCTCCCCCCACCCCTTTCTTTCGATTTCTTTCTCCCTACTTCTCTTTCTCCTTGTTTGTCTCTCTGTTCTCCCTCAATTCAATTTCTCTCTCTCTCTCTCTCTCTCTCTCTCTCTCTCTCTCTCTCTCTCTCTCTCTCTCTCCTTCGACCGCTGTCTTTCCCTACACTTCACTCTTTCTCGGCTTTCTGCCTTGATGGATACCTCTGCTCTGCTGAGTCTACTACCTGATGCAAGCTGCTGCTGACAGCACAGTCAAACTCTGTTAAATCTGGCCCTGCAGCTAGTCGCTTACGAACTGGGTCCAGTGAACAAGCACTCAGGGGCCTGCAGAACTGGGTAGTCATGTGTAAAAGCCCTGCTTCACCAAGCACTGATTACTTTACCCTAAAACTTTAGCTGGGAAGGAGTGTGAAGTTTCTTTAGACAGCTGCACCGTAAGTGTGTGTGTGATGACGTTGTTTATGTTGTATTGCATTATGCAGGACAGACACTCCCACATCAGCTCAAGATGGTTTGAGTTCTGGATGTAAAATGTTGCTGTTATAATCTTCACTGAAAAGATCATCCTAACAGGATTACGGTGTTTAAGGAGCTTTATGAGGGAGCGCCATGGCTCAGTCAAAACTAAAGCTCCAACGAGCACAAATGTACGCAGTGTCAACCAGTGCTGCAAAAACAACACTGCATCACTGAAAATAATGACATTTTGGCAGTGCAGTCATCTCATATCTAGCCAGCTTATATAATATGAAGTATGATAAGATTATTCAAGCTATTTTTAGAAATGTAAGTAATTCTATCTACTGAAATTGTCTTTGCTAACAATGCTTTAAACAAGCAAAAGTACAGTACTATGCAAAAGTCAGAGACCACCCTTTTGTTCGATAACCAGTCAAATGATTCCAGTGATCTTTAAAAGAGTAGAGAATATGAAGCTTCACTCTCGCTTTAAATCTGAAAAAATCCACAGGTGTTTCTGTCCATCCGTCCACTGTGAGAAGACAACTCAGCACTACGAGTCGGAAAGGAGGTGTAGCTGTCAGGAAGCCCTCACTGAGAAAGGGAAACAGGAAAAAGGAGAGGATTTGCACTGTAACACTGAGGTTTTATGAACTGATCTAAATGTGTAATTGGGATAGCTTGGATTGGAATGGAAGCTGTAATAAAGGCCAAGAGTGGACACAGTAAATACTGGACAGTTTGTGGCTGTTCAGTATTTACTGTGGATTTCACACAGATTGAGGCTTCTGTGTAATTTTCTGTTAAATATATGTTTTCTGCTTATTTTTCTGACACTGAGAAATGATTAACTTGTACTTAACAATTAAATGGCCTCAAAGTTATTATTACACACTTTTATAATCTGAGAATAACTCCTAAGTCCCTATAGCTACTACATAATAAGCCTTAGTAGTTATTAAGCCTGGCATTTTAAGGGGTTAACAGCTGTTTTGACTGGAAATTTAATACATAATGAAAGGGTAGTCTTGGACTTTTGCAACTAATGTACCTACCAATGAGAAGACAGTTTCACAAGATAAAATGACTTAAAACAAGGAAAATGTCTAGAATAGATTGAGTACTAAATTATATTCTTAGACCAATCTCGTAATCAGAGGTGCTACATATATTGACTAAATGTAAAATGATTTCATGTACCAAAACCTAAATTTCTACAGTGCAGTCGCAGAGGACATTTGCTATAGTATTGTAACTGAAATTATACCTATATATTTTTGTTTATTTACTATTTTTGAAATCATTTCCAATTCCAGATTTGTGAAATGTAAGAATTGTGCAGTGTTACATAAATAGCCTGAGGGATTATCCGATTCCACATCAATAGAAAATCTTTCAACAATTTCCTGACACTGCTCCTGGTCTGTATTTGCTCAATGTTTAAGGTTTAATTTCTATATTTAAAGTATCCTTAAACTGAATGCATGCAATCTAGCTTGTTTGCATGTTTGTTTGTATAAATTGTTGCATTAAAGCTTCAATCAGTCTTTTTGTAGGTCAGTTCTGACCTTCACAGTCATTCTATATAAAAAAAATAAGTCTGCCATAAGAGAAAAAGTACTATTTTTTTTTTAAACAAACGAGAGTAAAGAGAGTAATAAAACTGCTACCAGTTGACAGAAAATGTTAAAAAGCCCTATTTACAGCACCTTCAAAAGTCCAGGGAGTAATTTATATACAAGTTACGCTGATTGGAGCTTTATGCAGCAGCCCATAAACTAGCATGAAAATATGGATGTCCATTTGACTCTGAAGGTCACACACAGCACACATATAGATGAGGTTGTGCTTTAGCTTTCAACACAAGGGTTTTCCACCCATTTCTCATGAGCCATCTGTGCTTTGCAGAATTCGTGTACAGCAGCTCTTTTGATAGGTAATGGATTTACTGAGCAAAGAGGGGAAAGCCTTGAAATATTTCTGGTGTTAATGGAACAAAGAAGACCACATCTGTCACATTATGAGAAACGGTGACCTTAGCATTCAAGATTGGACACACAGGTTTTCCTCATTTTTAAGCGGAAGAATAGAGAACTCTGCATATCTCTGTATATGTGGTGTGGGTGTTCTGGCTTTAACTTGCTAGGCTGGTTAGCAATTAGATTGCTGGTTAGATTGTTGAAAACAGCAATGCATTCTAGGAGTTGCAAGTCAAGATTCATGTCAAAGAGCTTAAAAGGTTAGATTTTTACTGGTGTTAGCTGTTATTTGCATGTTGGGAAAATGACCTACAGTTTGAAAATTCTGTCTCTAAATATTGTTGCACTGGGGGCAAAGCTTCCCAGCATTCCTTCTGGTTTTGGTGGTTTCTGTTAATAAGCTTTTCTTTATTCATTTACAGGTTCTTAAACGTTATTCTTTATTTTTACAATGTACTATATGACCAAAGGTATGTGGACACCTGATGATCACACCTAACTGAGCTTGTTGGATGTCCCATTCCAAGACTGTGTGCATTAATATGGAGTTGGCCCAATGCAGCTAGAACAACCTCCACCCTTCTGAGACAGCTTTCCACAAGATTTCGGAGTGTTTCTATGGGAATTTATGCCTGTTCAGTCAAAAGAGCATTTGTGAGGCCAGGCACTGATGTTAGATGTTAAGGCCTGGCTCATAATCAATGTTCCAATTCATCCCAAAAGTGTTCAGTGGGGTTGAGGTTAGGACGGTGGATTTCTTCCACACCAAACTGTGAACGGGGGCACAGTCAAGAACAGAAAAAGGCCATCTCTAAACCACTGCCACAAAGTTAGAGGGATATTGTCTAAAATGTCTTTGTAGACTGTAGCACTGACATTACCCTTTAATGAAACTAAGGGGCTGAGCCCAGATCATTATCCCTCCTCTACCAAACTTACTGTTGGCGCTATGCATTCCGTAGGTAATGTTCTCCTGGTCATCCGCCAAACCCAGATTAATCTATCAGACTGCCAGATAGTGAGGTGTGATTAATCATTTCAGATAACATGTTTCCGCTGCTCCAGAGACCAGTGTCAGTGTGCCTTTACACCGCTCCAGCTGATGCTTGACGTTGTGCTTAGTGATCTTTGGTTTATGTGCTGCTGCTCGACCATGGAAACCCATTTCATGAAGCTCCAGACACACAGTTCTTGTGCTGATATTGCTTATAGAGGGGGCTTGGAGCTCTTTAGTGAGTGATACAACAGAAGTATGGTGATGTTTACACACTATGCGCTTCAGCAGTCTGTGGCCCCACTTTGTAAGTTTGTCTTAGCTTTAAATAGATACGATTAACTGAAATTTATCCATATATGATACTTTCCTGAAATGTTTGTCTAATATATTATGTAAAATTGTACAGTTCATGATGGTTATAACCTGTATACTGGGATTATGTTAATGTGCGGTGCAACTCTCAGGGCCTTCTGTTCTGACGTTTTGGTCTATTTTTATTTAATAGAATTATCATTCTTGTTGTAATTAAACTGCAGGATTGTAGTACTACTCTTATTTCATTGTTAAGTTTTTGTTGGAAACAAAAAAGTTAAAATCATGAAATACCCTATGGTCCAATCCAAATCTTTTCAGATGGTATCTAGGTAGATACAGCCAAGCTCATCCTCCCATTGATTAGGTCTTCAGGAGCAGGCATTGATACCGTTTATTTTTCAGACTAGGTACGAGTACATATTTTTAGTACTCACTGATGCCGAGTCCAATTTCATAATGAATTACCTACTTAGAATTAAGTTGTTGTTAGTGTGCAATACACCTTAATAGTTAAATCATTAAAATCTAGCTGATTTTAAAAGTGCGTGGACAAAGCCTATGATTTATATATTCACTTTGTAAAAAAACACTCATTCTGATTGACATGCTATGTGAAGCACAGCCCCTACAGATAGCTCCGTCTATGAACAATTTCCAATTATGCTGTTTCATTCAAATAACACACCGAGTACTGAGCAAACATGCTGAGAAACTGAGCTACAGCAGCTTCACTGTTTCTTGAACAAGTTTTGGCATTTATAGCCTGATCTGAAGGCCTGGGTCTAGACTGTATTACTCATTCTTATGAATACATTAAGTAGTTGCTAATGTGATATGTACAAAATGTACATTTTGCACAAAATCTGCAAGTGAAAGAACAACTGAGTTTTCACCGTGGGGAAAAAAGGGGGGAAACGTTCAGTTTGGCTCTCTCACAAAAGCTAATGCTTTACACCAAGTGCATGTTTTACACTGGAAGTGGAACGACTCCTGTTGTCATCCCCATGAACCACAACAGCATTTCAAAAACCACAAATAGCTCAAGGATTAGCAATTAATGGTTGTGTTCTGTAGAGGAGGATTTCATTTAGAAAGCCAATGTTGTGAGCTCAGCTGTATTAGCACAGTTCCGGTGTGAAAAGCTGGAGAGAGTGCTTGACTGTGGAGTGTGATATGAAGAGTGCAGGTGTGTAGGGTTGTGTTGGAATGATCTCTCCTCTCTCTTTCTGCAGATATAAACATGGCAGGAGAGCCCAAACCATATAGACCCAAAGCGGGCTCCAAACGACCGCTCTCTGCCGTCTACACGTGAGTGATCATTTCTCTTTTTTGTACTGTTCTCAAAGGTTAACCAACTAAAAGGACCCTTAAAATCCAGCGCCATCAGTGGATCCAGGTCTATTCCTGACTGCTATGACTTAATAATGTTTTTTTCATCTAGAGATACTGATTAATTAGCCTCAGCATGTAGACACAAATGATTTTAAGAAGTGAAGTAAGACAAAATACCTGTTAACATAAAGCAGCTATGTGCTAACTCATTGGATGCATTTAGCTGGACACTCTGCTTCATGTTCAAGTTGTCCTTCTTGGTATGTAGAGAAGAGCAGCTTTAGCCTAAAAATTACATTGACAATTGTCTTCTCTTTACAATTAAAAATAACAATAATAGAGGCTGGATTATCCATATGAGCTGTATATGCTCCTGTGTAGGTCTTTGCCCCAACAGGTTTAAAAAACAAAAAACAAGTTTGAGTCTTTAACATGCTCACTTTTTTGGCTGTTTACTTCACCTACATTCATGTCATCTGATGGGATGGAGGAGTAGGGATGGAATGGGAGCAGGCACAATATCAAATATTTGGCTTCATAAGCGCTGATGGAGGAGAAGGTTAATGTGAGAACTCTGATTGTAAGAATGAAGAATATGGAGCGGACACTGAGGGAGTTTTCTGTCGTGTGAGTAATGAGCTGGTTTGAGAACCACAGGTCTAAACTATTCTAGTCACCTCATTGGAGTTGGGGAAGTTGTTATGCTGTCATTTTTACATGGCATATAAAATCTTCATCTAAAGGAGGCCTTATGTTTTTCATACTCCACAAAACGGCTTAATCTGACCTTATTAGTAATACTTCAGTCATTTTGCATTGTTTACTGAATAACAAGCCAAGAGATGGTGAGGTTTAAGGGGCTAATGTTTGATAATATGCATCTCTTTCTGTTACCTATGCAATGCTATTGTCGCTCGTGCTCTAGTGGATGCCACTGCACCTGCAAACAGCTGCTGCATTATTATACCATGTACTGTATAACTTTGTCTTTGAGAAGTAGCCCTTGCTTCAGTAAGGAGGGGCGAGGAGAGCAGATTAGGATTGTGGAGATAGCTGAGTAATGCGCTCAGCACTTTTTGTCACTCATATTATCAGGCTCAGATAATGCAAAGGCTGTGCGTCTTTGTCTAGCCGGTGTGCACTTATCTATGACAATTTATCCTCACATTTGCTGAAGCTGCACTTGTGTCATGGGATGGCCTTGTTGCACCACTCCCCAAAGTCCACGACTTGGAGAGAGACTTTGGTGAAGAAATAAAACTCTCTAGTGAGAACTAAGTAAGCAAGGTATTAATGGGGGGGGTGATCATTTGGGACAATTGGAGGGGAGTTTAGCTGTGGGAGGCTGGGATTAGAAAGCTGAGCATTGAGGAGTTTGTGTAAAGAACCACATAAAGGCTTTGCTTCAAGTTTTTCCTCAGCAGAGGGAGAACAGGAGACGATCAGGTAGATAGAAGTTGCCTGTGACCAGAGCAGTGAGTGGAATTGACCAGTCTGCTTACAATCAGCGTTTTGCAGAAGTCCATCCTCCCTTGGTTACTGTTGCTCTGTCCATCAAACCAGCTCAGGCTACCTGGTAGTATCTGTAGCATCTGTACTAACAGACTAAAAGTTCAATAGCACAAAGAGAATGTTAGAAGACCAAAGAGGAGATTTTTCTTTCAAAAATAAACTGGCTTTAGAAAATGTTCACTGTAGACATACATTTCAGAACTGGCAAAATATGAATGTTGGCCAATTTAAAGTGAACCATAAAAAAAGGAAACCATGTTTACGTTAATCAAACCAGAGAAACTTGTTAGTCACTCAACTTTAAAGTAGCCAGATTTCACGTCTAAGGCTAATGCTAAAGCTAACGCTGGAGCTAGTCAGATCAGTGTTAAATGCTGAGGAGGAGTCGCCGTTTTTCACACAAGGTTTTAGGCATCATTCATCAAGCTAACTGTCAGCAGCTAAGTTAAGACTACACTGCTATAAAAAGCTAACTATGCAACCTGGTCTGGTGCTGGTTTAGCTGGTTATCCAGCTGGTTGACCAGCATGCCACTGTACAAAACACAACCTATGCTGGTTATGCTGGTGATCAACATAACAGCTTCTATCACTGCTGAACAGCATGGCAGCATCCATTTTTTGTTTGTTTGTTTGTTTGTTTGTTTTTTAGCAGACTAGTTATCAATCTGATCGTAACATTTTTCTGTAATGTTATTTTTCATTAGACATCATATTAAAAGTACAGTAAACCCAGTATGGTCATCTTAACTTTGTATAATTCTGCCTGTTAATAGTTTTGACATTGAGCTATAAGATTGGTCTTCCACACAGTTTAGTCCAAAACTTTTTCAGCTTCAAGAATGAAACAAAAACAGCACCATCCTCCAGATGATCAGGATAGCATGTGTCAAGAGTAACGCATTCTTTACTTAGTCTACACATTCGTTTCTTAGCCTAATAATTCAGACTAATTTACTGCTCCACCCATCTCACTGCAGGTTTGTTGTGTGAAGTTCTGTTGGAATATTTCCTTGCTTGATGGAGGAAGAAGCATTGAGAAACAATTGTGATTGGCTGCGAGTTCAAGTTGTGTTCTTTAGTAGTGACTGTTGTGAGGTTGGACAAGCTCTGTAGAATGACGGCAAATATCATATAAAGTCTAATGAGAAATTGTGGCGCATAGTGATTTTTTCAGTTGGGATAGATGTAGATTTTTCTGCATGGTTTCAATTAGCTGCAGTGACATATTCTACTTTGGTAGCATAGCATTTGAAATTGGAGACTTGGTAGCATTTTAAAGTGGAAGCTCAAAGTTATGTAAACAAAGACCACTTCAGTTTCTCATTAGGTTGAATCAGATTTTCCTGACATTCTGTAACGTTTAACAAACCCTGCAGTAACTTCAGTGAAAGAACACCTTTGCGGAGCATGGATAGGCCAATACGAGGGAAAGGAGAAAGAGAGAGTATTCTCAGACTGAGTTATGCCACTTATTATTTATTTTTTACTAAATTGCAGTCTTTTGTGCTTACAATAAAACAAACAAAAACATGAAAGGAAACACAAAGACTGAAGATCAAAATGGTGGAAGAAGTGCAGAACTGAACCCCAGAAATCTATGATATCAGTAAATTGGCATAGAGTCAGGTACACGAAGAACGGGTCCAACACATCCATTATTCCTTGCATAGAGCAAACAGCATTGATTAGCTTTGGATTCCTGGTTTCCATGAAACTAATAGAAAGGTTTGTTGTCCATGTTGAAAAAAGGGAGGAAAGTAATGAGGCATGCATTTGCAGATACCCGGCAAGGCTATTATTTCCCAGCCTGAAACACTTCTCTGAACCCTTTCATTGTTTTGTTTTTTCTCCTCTCAATCTAGATGTAGCTTTTCCATTAGCTATCAATGTATTCGTATTTATTTTTGTCTGCTCATTTTGTTTTTGATATTACAAATTCATTAAAACTTGATTTGCATTTTAACAGTACATTTCAAAACACCATTATATAACTCTGGTTAATTAGGGAAACATAACGGGAGAATGACAAAACCATCAAAGAAGTGTTTCAAATGGTAATTGCTTTTTTAATGAAATTTAATTAAAAATTTGGAGGAGGGTGTAGCTCCGTTCGGCTGAATAATAATGATGTATGGGAGTGAGCGTGTTTCGGAGCTGGAAGCGGCGACGGCCTTGTTGGGTTGGATACGCTCGCTGTGGCCATGGTGACCTGGCCAGGATTAGCGGGCTGGAAAGGCGTTCCACGGTGTTGAGAGCAATTTGAGCTGTGCTCTGTCACACAGCACCGTATGCCATAGTTCTCCAATCCTCAATCCTCTGCTCCCGCACTGACCACTCAGCGTGACCGGCAAACCAATCTACATTGAGTGTGTCGGGTTTGTAGCTGCTTTTAATGCATTTGGGGAGCGGTGCTTTAAATAAACAAGAAAAATTGTTTTGTGGGCATGCTGCACTTACCTACCTACGGCCATCAAAGACAGCTTTTCTCCTGTAAAGAAGCCTTCTGAAAAGCACATGTTGTAAAACTGAAATGTGTACACACTGAACATTTGCTGGATTTTATAGTTTGCTCCAGAAATTTTGACACAGCATGGTTTATTGGCCACCGCACTTCTCAAAAATAACAGTTTTTATCATGATGACTCACTTTTGAGTGAGGGATATAGTGTCCTGCACTAAGAGATCCATAACCTACATTTTGTCTATTTTATTTTTTCCCCTGAAATAAACTCATGATGTTTGCATGGTTTTATACTCCAAAAAATTACCATTTTCTGAGACTTTTTGTTACTGGGCCCTTGTAAATGACCTCTGCTCTGATTGGTTGCACTGTTTTGGGTTTTATTCAATTTTATTTTATTCAATTTTTTTTTCATTGCTGCTATTTTATTATTAAATGATAAATAATCTACTTAAAAAAGGAATTCTGGATATTAATTTTTTAATTATAATTTCCTTCATGATGCTTGCTCAGTCATTTTAAAATCATACATACAGTGCAGTGAAAAGTATTTGCCACTTTCCTCTTTGTTCTGTTTTTGCATATTTGTCACATTTGAATGTTTTAGATCATCAAACTACTTTTAATATTAGACAAAGATAATTCATGTAAACACAAAATGCTGATTTTTTAAATGATGAGTTTATTTATTGAAGGAAAACTACTGTTCAGCCATACCTGGCCTTATGTGAAAAAGTAATTGCCCCCTTAGCTACTAAATCAACCAGTTATCCAATTGAATTGACTTTTGGGTTGAATTTCACCAGCCACACCCAGGCATATTATGACTAGACCTGTTAAATCTCACCTCACTTAAATAGAACCTGTCCAGTAATGTGAAGCAGGCTAGAAGGTCTCTAAAAGCAGCACATGATGCCGAGTTCTAAAGAAATTCAAATATAGATGCGAAACAAAGTCACTGAAATCTATCGGTCTGGAAAGGGTTACAAAGCCATTGCTAAGGCTCTGGGACTCCACAGAACCACAAAACCTGAAAACCTGAAACAGTGGTGAACCTTGCCAGGAGTGCCTGGTCTACCAGAATTTCACCAAGGGCACATCAACGACTCATCCAGGAGATCACAAAAGAACCCAGACAAACATCTCAAGAACTGCAGGCCTCACTGGTTTCAGTTAAGGTCAATGTACATGATCCCACAATAAAAAAGCAAAAATGGCATTCATTGGAGAGTTGCAAGGCACAAACCACTGCTGACCAAGAAGAACAGAAAGTCTTTGCAAAAAAAAAAAAACATCTAGATGGTCCCCAAGACTTTTTGAATAATATTCTGTGGACTGATGAATCAAAAGTGGAAATTTTTGGAAGACATGGGTTCCGTTACAGCTGGCATAAAGCCAACGCTGCATTCCACCAGAAGAACATCATACCAACAGTCAAACATGGTGGTGGTAGTGTGATGGTCTGGGGCTGCTTCGCTTCTGCAGGACCTGTATGACTTGTCATAATTGATAGAAACATGAATTCTGATCTCTGTCAGAAAATTCTGAAGGAGAATGTCCACCTGTTAGTTTGTGACCTAAAGCTCAAGCATATAAGTGTAATACTAATCAAATCCTAATTTATAGAGCACTTTTCATACTGGTGGCGGTTTAAAGTGCTTTAAAGACAGGCAAAAATGCTTAATATTACTAAAAGAAACTATGAATTTTAATTTAAAATCACAAAAGACAAATTTAAAAGATAACAAAGATGTTAAATTTTAATTAAGCACTAAGTTAAAGTTTTTAAAAGTGTGCACTGCTGTCTAATAAAAGGTGGAATTGAGTTCCACAGTTTAGAAGCATAATAACTGAATGAGGCCTCTCCACGTTTTCTGTATTTACATAAGAACAGTATCTGCAGATCTAAGATCACATGTTGGAACATAAACAGACAGAGGGAAGCCCAGTAAAAAGCACATTATAGTAATCAACTCAGCTTAAGCTGCTTTATTTCTTCATTCATCCACAGATTTTATGTCTGTGAGTTTTTTCTTCCATTTGAATGTTGGCAGAATGTCAAGAGTTTCCTTTATTCTAGCATTTAGAACAGAGACCAGATCATTACAGGATGGAGTCCTAGCTGTATTCGATGCACTATTATAAAGGTTTTCAAGCTTATAGTAAATTAGTTATTTTGGTGACAAAACACAAACAGATACCCTGAAATCAGGCTTTACTGCAGGTCAGTTACCAATTACATATGGTCTGGACTGGATTTTACACACCACATTAAACTCGGTGCTGCTATCACTATAAACTGACAAGGGCTGAGTTTTCCCAAAACATCTTAGCACAAAGATAAATCTTATATGTAGAGCAAGCATCACAGTCAGACATTCTCACTACCAGTTATGATGATCTTAACACTAGGACTACATTCACATTACTGGTCTTCATCAATTCACATCTGATATTTCTAACTTGACGGTTCACACTGGTGTAGTTAAGTGACTCAAGTCTGTCTGCATGGACCTGCATGCGCGCATACTAATCAATAATGTCACATCAATGAACCATATGTGTCATGAACAGCAAACAAACTAACCAGCAGAACAAGCCATTATAGCGAAGATAATTTGCTCTGAACAGCTCTCAGCTCTACTTTATTTGAGCGAGACGAAGGTGAAAAAGGTCAGATGTGTTGCTTTTGCACCGTTTACTGGCGCTAACTTCAGGTTTGGCACTGCTGCCTCATTAATGCTGAATGATGATGCATATGCAGTGAAAAAACACATAAGTTCCTATCTGAGCAGTTCCTATCTTCTCATTAAGGTCAGATGGCCTCGAATCAGATGCATATCCAGTCTAGGACCAGTGAAAGACTACGTTTAGACAACATTAGGCAATAGTGTAGGCAAATCGGATTTGTTTCTCAAATCAGGTCTTTTGAGACGACTGTCCACACTGTTACTTACAAGTGATCAGATCAGATTTGTGTGTCCAGACATCACCAACCTATCTGCATGGGTTGCTGTGGTAACAACATAGGTGTCAGTAACTATATAGCTATGCTGGTGATACGAATTTCAAACTCAGATGCAGGAGAGTTGGAGATGCATCATATCACCTATCACCCTCAACCTCCATCATATCACCCTCAAAAGATACTTTGAGATCTGATGTGAGCGGCCAGAGCATCCAGACTGAGACACATATGTAAAAACCTGATTGGAATCACATTTCAAACCACCTGCAAACGTGGTTTGGATTTGCAAAAATCGCATTTCATGTGTTTTTTGTTGCTGTCCAGACAGAAATCTGTCTGGATACAATCTGGAAATGCCAACAATCAGATTTGAGCTGGCTGTCTGAACAAGGCAAAAGCCGCTCAGGTCATATTTGAAAAGATCAGATTTGTGTGTCCCCACAGCTCTGGAAAAAAAAGAAAATCAGAATTTTGTCACAAAAAAAGGGCAAAAAATGTATGCCACTTCAGCCTGGTAATGTGAACATAGCCTAAGATGCTTATGGGAAACCAGGCCTAGAATGGTAACTGCAGGAGCTACCACTGTGTCAGCATGATCTGGAACAGGGCTCAAAGAGAAGACTTCACTGTCCTTCAACATGGGAAAGTAAAAGCTATTAATATGCTAAATGTTCTGTTTTTTTGTTAGTCCATAATGCATCCAGTACGTTTCATGGGGTAGTAATAATAGTCTAAACAAAAGCAATACTTAAATTACAATATGCTTAAAAATGCTTGACAAATAAATAGGCCTCTGTGCAAATGCAAATTAACCAGCCCTGCTTTCATGAACCTTTTTGTGTTTTCTTTGTCTTTTCAGTGGTTATGAATTTGACTATGACTACTACCGTGATGACTTCTACAATCGGTACGTATTCCCGTTAGCCCTGCTATTCTAATGGAAATTCCTGCTCCAGGGATGTCTGCATGTCCGTGTTTATGACTTGTTTAAGATGTTGAGACCGCTAATGGCTGTTCCAGCATGTGATTCATCAATGTGATATGAAAATCGCTCTCTGTTTTTTGACCTTTAACAGAGGTCAGCGTTCATCGTTGTCAAGAACATAGCAGCAAAATGAACATGAAAACAGTAAAGCAATTAGTGGTGGCATTCACAAAGAGCCCTGCAGGACCGGCTTCACTGTCTTCAGACTCACTTACCCACATGTTTTCCTTGGGGATAAAAAAGGAAGGAAAAAATCAAATCAAAGGAAATTTTGTGTGAAAAATCCATTAGAATTGAGTGAATAGAGCACATCCTTAAGCTTTAAGAAGCCATGTTTCCTTTCACTAATTCCCCTGCTTATGATCAAGGCTTTTATCAGTGGAGACATTTTGCTAAATGTCAGCCGCGCTGAGAGATGCTGTGCACAGAGAGCACGAGTGCAAGGGCACGTAGCTCAGTTTGACATTTTCCTGCGTGTTTCTTCTCCCCTACTCTATTTGAAGATTCTTAAAGAAAAAAAACTACACGGCTGTATTTTACATTTGTTGAGGCAGGAAATATTCATATTAATTCACAGAGGGAGCTCATTTGAAAAATCTATTTTTTCTGAAGAATTCAGCTACTGATTGTGAAATATGCAGTGCTCAAGTTTTTGTTACATTGGGTAGACAGCGTTAGCCTGGTCAGACATGCAGTAATGCCAGATAAATGTGTTGCTTCAGTGTACATTTTTATAATGGCACCTAATTGGGGTGTTCTGGCTTACTAATGTATGAAGAACACTGGTTTGTCCACTTCATGTAGGACATTGCACAAATCAAAAATGAAAGGAAATCTGCACTTATGAGTGCTTAAAGGAGTGGTCCAGCAAAAAAATCTAATTTGCACAGTTGTCCACTCACCCCAGATGTAGTCCATTAGCCAAGTCATGTTCGGGGTCCAAATTTTGCTTCTTTTTTATAGCGCTGAAGCTATTTAAGGCTATCATTGGTAACAAATACTAGAAGTTAAAATCTTTTCTCAGTCCACTAAACCACATCCAAGTCTTTACTAAGGTTGCTGAGACTTGCTGATTTGGCAACTTGACTTACTGTGAGCTAGCCTGCATGCACATGAAAGGGAGTTTTACGTGTCTGTCTCCAGCATTCAGCTATATATTGTTTTTTGTTCATTTTTATAGTTCACAGAAAGCCACACTGTGCTCTAAACTACATCAACAAGTCTGGGTGACCCTAATGAAGACCTGGATGTGGTTTGAGTGGGTTGAGAGAAGCTTTGGGGATGTACTTGGGGAAAAGATTTGGGTGACTATTGACTTCTAGTGTTCGTTAGCAATGTTAGCCTCGCAGCTCCAGCATTAAACTAAAGAAGCAAAATTTGGATGCTAAACATGTCTTTGCTGATCGCCTGCATCTGGTTTAAATGGGAAATTATGAACATTTGAATTTGCCAAACTATTGATTCAAGGTTTATTTGCCATAATTAGCCTTAAAAATGAAAGGTAACTACTTGATCTAAGATGTTTTTTTCTGTCCTTTCTGATTTTTGGAATGCAAAATTGTAGCCCAAACCAGTGTGGAAAATAGCTTTCTGAGATTATTTCTGAGATGATCAAATATAAGATATTCTACTTGCGTAAAGAAGAAGAAAAGCAAAGGAAAATAAGTGAAAAACAGGAGCTTCCAAAACTGGAAACATAAACAGTCAGATAAACAGCACTTAAAGCTTTCATCTTTGAGTGAGAGGAGAAAATCTAGCTCCACCCTTTAGGTCTTCCACTGTGAGTACACAACTCAATGCTGAGTCTGAAAAATGTGAAGCTGTCAACAAGCCCTCACTGAGAAAAGGAAACAGACAAAAAAGTATCTTTCAAAATAAACAATAAAGCTGCTTGAGTTCTCAGAACAATGGACTGACCACTCCAGAGTCCAGGTCTTAACATCACTTATATGTTTTACTTGGATCATGAAAGGCAGAAAATGCAACCAACTTCTAGGACTGAACTTTAGAGGTCGTGGAAAAACAACAACAAGAACAACAAAAAGATATTGTATTTAGTTGTTAAGGCTTCTGTGTACATTTTGTTTAAAATGAATAAACATGTTTACTGTTTTTTTCCCTGATGCTGAAAAATTATTAACTTGTGCTTAATGGCTGTTTTGACTGAAAATGAAATATATGAGCAAATGGGCTCTGATTTATTCACAGCACAGTGTGTTACAAAAACTAACCAAAACTAGGAGCGACAAATATGCTACCATCTGTAAAGCTTGTCCGACCTTGTAGCAGCGTAGACAGAGCATGAATAGATCGGTTTTGTGTGTGAATTAAAAAAAGAAAGAAAACAACTGTATAAAATCGTATAGTTTTAAATTTTTTCGAAAGAGACATGAGTGATTTAAACTGCAGTTTTCAGTCAGAGTGAGCACAGAGCCAGTGAAACAGTCATAAACCTTTTTTCTTTTCCCACCCTCAGGCTTTTTGACTATCACGGCCGGGTGGCCCCGCCTCCACGGGCCGTCATCCCCCTGAAGCGCTCGCGGGTCGTGGTGCCGTCCACGCGGCGAGGCAAAACGTCCTTCCCCATCAAAACCTCCACATCTTCATCGTCGCGCCCAGCCTCCTCCTCATCCTCCTTCTCCTCTGGCCTCAAGCGTAAGTTTGTGCCATAATCAGAGTGCAGAGACAAAAACGACAGATTTACACAAAAAAGAAATAAATAATGCAGATGAAGCCTATGATTCTGAATCACTACTTGAATGATGGCTAGCACTAATTACATTGCACACCAGCACCACAGTCTGTGTCATTGTAGTAATGTTTTGTGTGCAGTCCAGAATTTGCATTAAAAAGATATAAACGTTTTCACAATAGTTAATCTACATCACAGCACAAAGGACTCAGTGTCTCTGCTAGTCAGTATCTGGGAGGAAAAAAAAAGAATGCACAATGGCTCCAATAGTGTTTCAACCTAATTGCACACAATATGAAGTCTATGAGGTTTATTCCTTGCTGCTCAGCAGTATGTTATCAATGGAAGCAGCTGGGAGGTGCTGGTCACGGGGGTCTCACGCTTATCCCACAAATGGAGGAAAAGGAAAATGGATTTTTTTTTTATTATTAATTTCATGCGAGTTATGTATTGATTTTCCTGCAAGCATGCTTGCATGTCTGCCGATGTCAGCGGCTGCCTCACAACTCAAATTGTCACTTTGATTCCCGGATTGGACGCGCCGCATTTCCAGGCGGCAGTTCTGGGCAGCAAAAGTGAACTGGACAACAGACCATGCTGGAGTCCATATGCTTGAAATTTACAATGAATTGCACTGTTTTAGATTTTTATCTCTGATCCAGAAGCACCAAGTGCCTGGCTTTGCCAACAAGTCCCCATGCCACTCTCTCTCTCGTCTTGTGGGAATCAAGCCTGGAGATTAGCTTTGCGCATGACGCTAATGCTCTTAGCTCTGCGATAGTGGCTTTTCTGCGGCTTGCCTCGTATCAAAGCAATTTAAGAGCAAAAATAACCATGGCAACATGCACAAAAACACATATTGTTTGCTTTAAGCTTTATCTCTCTGGAGTTCACACTCTGGCCATGAGAGCAGCCAAGAGCCCATCTCAGAAACCCGAGATTAGACTTCAGGGACATTATAGAAAACTAAAATTAGATCTAAAGTTTAGCCAGAGAGTAGCCAACTTTGACTTTTCACATTGGAGACAAATCCTGCACTGAAAGGGTGATGAAATGATTTGGGATTAGTGTGTTTATCATTGTTGGATCTGCTCTCCTTTTGAGGTGGTAAACAAAGCTACTAAGCCTGAAGTTACTGATAAAGGAGAAAATGCTCTTCCTGTCCTTATCATCAAGGCACTGTCTCCTGCCCCCAGGGGAAGATGTTTGTGATTCTGCAGCCATAATGCTACAGTGTGTGCGTGTAGTGGGTGGGTGGGTGATATCAAGTTAGCAGTAATTAATAGTTGTATGTTTTCGGATGGCTCTGGTGGTCTCCTTTGAGCTTCGTGTCTTATCAATTATTTGACAAGAAGGCACTGAAATGTTATTCATGAAACTATTCTCCACCAGAGTCGGTGTCCTTGAAGGCACACACATACGGACTATTCAGAATGCGCCAAATTTTTTGAGGTGATGTGTTGAATGGTTGCCTGTTTGCCTTGAGTTTTGTATGCTCAGAGCCGGTGACTAGGACAGTAGGCCAAGGACAGTCAGACTCTCTTCTGTGTGAATGCTTGCTGAGGTCAGGGGGTTCAGCAAAACTACATGACAGAAAAAGGAAAAGAAATGAAAGGAATATTCCGGCATGCAGTTATCCCAATTTTGAAAGTAATATGAAGCTTACAAGCTTGACATTGTGACAATAGAAGAACTCTTTTTGGTGCTATATAGAACCATACACAACACATTCTCCATTAATCTGAAGATCCATTTTAACATGCAAAGAACCATTTAAGTATGCAAATGGTTCTATGTAAAACTCATGTTTCTAAACAGAATCATTACCGTTATAAGGAACACTTTAAAAAACATCTTTTTTAAAGTTTAGCTAAACTCACGTTGCTAAAAGAAAATTCTCCATTTAAATCTAATAGTTGTGATACCCTACTCTATATTCCTCCATTAACCCCTTAATCCCTGAGTGCTGGATTCGAGGACATGGATTGACATCGTGTTAACTTGCGATGTCAATAGTGTTTCATCCTTAAAAATCCTTTTTAGTCCAGGCTTAGGCTTAATCTGGCTCTAGAAAACTGACCGCACTTCAATAGACATATTTCCTCTGAATAACAAGGTTTTAAGTACTTGTAATACAAATATTGCTATATACATGCTACCGGTCACTTAGTTATGTGAAAGTAAGGCTACTTCTATAACTATACATAAATTCTGAAACAACACCAACTACTCAAATTGCAGCCTACTGCTGTGAAAGCCAGTACACTTGATAAAGCTTACTGGTTTCGCGTGGGGTCTTTTACTGAGATTGTCAGTCTAATTATGTTAATTACATGTGCAAGACGTTCATTTAATTTCAGACAGCCATTAAGTAAGTAATTCATTTTTCAATATCAGACAAAAAGCAAAAGACAGTTATTTAACAGAAAATTACACAGTTTTACTGTGTAAAATAAAATCAGTTTTTCAGCATTCAGTGTGTCCACTTTTTTCCTGTATCACAGGTTCCATTTTTCAAAACCTCCAAAGTTAGGAGCTGGTTGTATTTTGTTCTTCTTATGACCCCTTCCAGCAATCCTTAAAGACCCATAGTGTTGAGTTGTCTTCTCACAGTGGAAGGATGATTTTTTTCAGATCTGAAACAAGAGTGTAGCTTGATTTGTTTCCTCTCTCTCAAAGATGAAAGCTTTAGGTGCTGCTTATCTGATGGTGACTGTTTTGGTGGTCTACCAGGTCTTGCACGGTTGTTAGGAATCCCATTAATATTTTTTTGAACTTCAGTTTTGGAAACTTTGCTTTTTCACTTATTTTCATTTAGCGTTCCTTTTTATGCAAAAGGATAATCTTTTATCTAATGTCCTCAGAAATATCTCCTAGAAAATGAATAACTTGTACTTAATGGTCATTTTAACTGGAAGTGAAATAAATGAATGGTGGTCTCTGGCTATACGAAGAACTGTATTAAGTACTGTTTTGACTTTATAATTTGAGAGGAAAAATATATGCAAGATAAAACGTGTAGACTTTAGAAGTCGTCAGTTAACCACCACAAAGCGGCAGCAATGATTTTCAGAATCGCTGTTTGTTTTTACCCAGAGGCAAAAACAGCTTAGACTAAGGGCTCATCTGGATGTTAATGACAACAAAATGAAAAGATGTCCTCACAGGTCTGTTCTTCATAGCTACATAACTTACATGCTGGCTTTATAGTAGTTACCAGATAATTCACAGTCTTTACTGAATAATCCGTCTTAACATGAATAACTGAATAATAACAGCAAGACGTTATTGTATTTTTTATTATACCACAGTAAGACCTGATTGACTATGAGTGACAAGCCCCTCTCAGAAAGTTTTACATATAGCTGAACAGCCTCTGGTCTCATAGTGCTTTGCCAAGGCACCCCCACAGCTTGGATTGGTAGTAAAGCATCATCTCACTCTCGTCTCAGAGAGATGACATTGACTGTTTCTGAAGGATGTCAGAGGCCATTTCTCTAGTTAAAATTGATGTTGTTTCAAAAGCCTGTTGTGTTTCAGTGATATTCCCTGCACTCTTACTTATGACCACTGTCATCTCCCACTGCAGTCTAAGGCTTGACTTTTTTATACTGTGCATTAATCTGCTCGTTTCAAGCTACTTATGTGCATTCTGTGGCAGAGGCGAGGTCTCAGAGAAAGCTGACACTTGAAATTAATCTGACAGCTGTCAAGGCATATACGTTGTCTATTTTTAGCTGATGAGAGCTGCTTAAACGCTTATCAGGCTACACGGGCAACATTTCCAGACTCATTGAAGTAGCTAAATATTTAGACAGAGATTTGTTGAATCATGGTACATGATGGTCAAACAGGCACCTCTTTATTTATTTATTTTTTATTTTTTATTTTTTTTTGCAAAGTGGACTTTCCTCATATCCGTCCCTTAATTTGCATTAGAGATATTCATGAACAGCGATTAATCTGTTAATCAAAACATTCATTTCAACATGGAATCAAAATAGAGACTCATTTATATTAGTGGCCCGTAACACAATAATGTGTAAACACATGCTATGCTGTACAAACATGTAATCGTCCAAATGGCACTGGCTGACTCCCGAGCGGCTTGACTGGCTAAGACACAGCCGTTCATGTCCAGGAGTCCAAGAGTGTCCAGTTGGCCTTGCTGCTCTTTGAGTAAAAGGATGGATTAGTTCCTCATTTATCTCCATCTAGCAATGCTGCCCAGACAGGGGGCATATGTTTAGTCATGTGCACACAATTGGGCAGCTCACTGCTTTCCAGGAGCATGTAGCTGCCTTGTGACATGTTTGAAAAGAAAATGGAAGGTACTGATTGGCTATGTGTGTCTTGGAGAAGGCATTGGTTGCACCAAACTGGGAACAACTGAGACTTGGGAAATGAACAAGTAAAAGTCCACATTAAATTAAGTTAAAATAATTTTCAATAAATAAATCTCGGTTGTCTCTGCTAAATTATCAATGTGGAAGAATCAAACCGGAATCAAACAACATCTTTCTGGAATTTATTACAAGTGTGCTTTTAAAATATTCGAATGAAGTCAGTGAAGGCAAACACAGTTTTAAGTCAAATGAATATGTCTGATTTGTTTTTTCACTGGTATTGGTTAGCAAAGAGGATAAATAGTGGAATGGTTTCTGTTATGTGATCATACACTATAAGCCTACAAGCTAGCAGAATTTTAAATATTCAATTACTTTACATTTTTTAGTTCACAAAATCAAAGATCACAAATTGGAAAAATTATGGATTTAGAGTTAATTGCACACGCAGTGTGATCACTGGTGAAGATGCTTCTATTTTGCATTCCTTTCTAATCTAATTGAAGGATTTTCATTATAAATTCTATCACCAGCATAGCAATTTGAATGAAAAGTGGAGTATTTGAAATTTTGACATGAACTTCAGAATTTCTTAGAATTTGATAAGCCCTTCTCTTGCTTTAATGACAGTGTGCATTTAAGCTGACATGAGCTCCACAAGTTTTGTGCAGAAGCCTCTGATGAGTAGATCAAATGTTGCTGAGGGTCGTCTGAACACGAGCTTCACTGGAAGAGATATGACTAAAAAATGACCTTTTTGTACAAAGGCTTGAGTAATGACCTAGAGAGAGTGCAGAATCTTCAGCATTCCTTTTTCATTTTACTTGTCATTGTTATAAAATGTTCTGTTGTTTTTTTCCAAGTTCAGTTGAAAAAATCCCAGGTTTTTGATGTGGTCTCAGGCTTTCTGGCCTGCTGTATATATTAAAGTAACATAACACTTTAATTATTAAGTAAGGTGACACATATTTTCAGTTGATGCAACTGAAAATAATTATTCCAATCACTTGATATAACAGAGTCAGTGGCATTAAACCTTTACAGTAATTATAGCTCAAAATGAGTGACCCCTTAAATAGTTTGTGCCTTAAATGAACTGAGTACCACCACTCAACAGATACATGTCATGAATGTACAAGAAACTGCTTATTCAAAACTTTTAAGCTACATTAATTCTGTGGTTTGCTGCAACCACTATAGGCTGATGACAGAACTATTAAACATTGGTATCAAAGAACTCTAATAAATACTCCACTCTATAAGTAATGTACAAATAGCAAAATGATCAGAATCACCCATTTAAAGGGATTAAAATGGCGTGTGTAACTTGTGACAGTCAAATTTGTTTACTTTTATGTTGGCAATACAAGCTGATCTTGCAAACTTGAAATCCAGCCATCATGCTTCCAAAAATGATGACTTATAAATTGCATTAACCCCCCCTGTTAGTGTATACACTGTTGACTTTATTTAAAAATAGCTGATAAACAGAAAGGATAATAAAAGATAATAACAAAAACAAACAAAACCACTAAGAATGCTGGGAATGTCCACCTTACAGCTGGCATTGTGTCTACATAATATGACTTCAGATATAATACTGTTTAAACTCTTGTCATTAAAGTCAGTAAATCTGTCATAGAGAGCTCTGTTTCAAATGCAAATAGGACTCTACTATGTTAGAAATGACCAGTTTCACCAAATTATACTTTATAATTTACTATTTTATTAGGGCAGTGTGTTGACAAGGTCGGTCCAAACATCTTCAGCATATAACTCACAATGGTATAAGAGAAAAAGGGCTGCTGCTAACAAACCAGATGGTCTACTGTATCAAGAGCTGTCACTGCAGCCACAGTCATAGGCTCATAATCAATGACTGACAAAAAGACTGCCTGAACAATTTTCTTTCCACCGCTGAATGAAGCAGGATTCACTGTTGCAGCGAAATTCCAGTTGTAGTCATTTCTCCACTATTTTAAATAATGTCTTTTCATTGATCCAGGTGTCCAGTTGTTCATAGCCCTCAATCAGAGTGCCAGAGTGCAGATTTATAAACTGCCATAATTGATTTTGTAGACCTTGAAGACAAGATGTAATTAGTCTTTATCGCCTTCAGGATCAGTAAGGTCAACCAGACTCTTTTGTATTGTGTTAAAGGGCTTGTGGTTATGGCTTGTTAATGGAGAAAAACGTCTTTATAAAGCTCATAAGGACCTCATGATTATTAGCTTGTGGTGGTTGTTTTTGTTTTTAACTGTCTCTCCATGTCATATGCCATCTTTTTTTTTTTGGATAAATGAAACCTTATTGGAACTGGATTAGTTTTACATGGAGACTGAATGAATAAATCTGTGATGTCCATAGTTTTTATGTCTTTATATCTTTAAGTCTGATAGTAATAATTGGAGAGTGAATGTTCTGTAATAGGGTGAACCTGAGCTTCCTCCGCAATAGTCCTGTTTGAATTCACCTCAAGGTAACAGAATGACAAAACCTGTTAAGAGACACAGCCAGGCGCCTTTGTTGTTACTGTTATTGAGTGTGGTGTCTGTCTTGTAACACTGATTTTTCAGTCCGAGCTGTCTGCGGTCATTTGGGACTTTATGCCGTATAAGTCAGTCCATCAAATCCTACAAATTGCATTACTGAAGTTTCTAAACTAGCTCAGTTCAAAAGGTGTTTTAGACCAGGGGTTCCCACCCTTTTTCCAGAATGGACCAAAAACAGCTGCCCACAATGATTTTAAGGGACTGATGCATATAATTAGCCTATGTTTTATCATTATAAAAGAACGCTTCTCCAATGCTTTCATTTTTTATTTGAAAATGCCAGTTGACCTTTATAATGTATTAGAATTTCATGATGAATGGGCCAATTGAAATGACTTAGAATAAGATATTGTTCCATTAACTTTCATTATAAATTAAATATTTTTTTCTTTTTCATTGCGATGCAATGGTTTTGGCGTATTTATGTCTCAAGTGGTGATGAATCCATATTTTATGTAGCTGCCATAACATAAAATTACATACATTGCATTACATAAAATTGGGTTACAAAGATTTTAATGGTAAGAATCAAGCCTTATATTAAAAATATTATTATAATATTAATTAAAATAATGATAAAATAGCAGTTAGACTGCTAACCCTCCACCCCAACCCCCCATGCTGGGGGCTTATTGCAGCATTGTTGCTGCCCTCTGCTTTAGACAGTTGTGATTGAGATGTACTTATGATTGGGATGTGTTTGTTGTGTTACCTGATATCATACCACACAGCTTAGTTGAAACAGAGGGTAAAGATTAAATTGAAAAACGCAGAAGAGAGGAGGATTGTATGAATGTGTAGGTAGGGAACCTCTTCAGGCTGGATTAGATGGGAGATAAGAAGGCTGTGTAGTAAAACGTGGTTTCAAAAGCTTTCACATGAATGTTGTTTATGTACTCTGTGTGTTGTGTGTGTGTGTGTGTGTGTGTGTGTGTGTGTGTTTCTCTCTGCCCCTGCAGTAAAGACGGATCAGGTCCAGACGATCAAGCGGGAACTAACTCAGATCAAGATGAAGATCGACTCTCTCCTGGGCCGACTGGAGAAGATAGAGAAGCAGCAGAGAGCTGAGTCTGGTGAGGAGGAAGAGGAGTGGTGGGGGATATGCCAAAGACAAACAGAAGTTGCGGAAGGGGAAGTAAATTAAGAGCGCACACAAACAATCAATCTTTGTGACAGGTTTTGGAGATAGAGGCCCAAGCGCTCCGTCATAGCGGAGCTCATATGACAACATGGTGCCTATGCCGGGTTATGAGAGGGCTTTTTATAGTGACAACCGAGAGCAGAGGACAAAAGACAGGAAAGGGAAAGGGCCTCGGCTCATATAACTACAGAAAGCTGGAGTGCCTGTGGAGAAATCTCACATCCAGTGCCATATATCACATGACCCCCCAAAGACTCGCTTGTTTTTCCTTTTGTCATTCACTTTCCAGCACAGTGAATTCCCTCCCTAATAACTGGATTTTATTGACGTGGTGCAGAACAGGCGCAGAAGTCAAACTTTTCCAAAGTTTGCCCAAAGGTTCTTGATATGGAGTCTCTACAGAGCAGGCCTTGCTCTCGGTTTCATGCGACTCGTCCCCGCAGATTAATTAGCACTTTTGCAGATGCCGTCCGTTCTGTCTCTCTGTGATTGATGTCTCTCTTTGTGTTAGCATGCCCACTGCTGCCGTTCATACTCACTCACTCTGTTATTTCTCTGTATTTCTCTCTCTCTCTCTCTCTCTCTCTCTCTCTCTCTCTCTCTCTTCCAACCACTCTGTCTTCCTCCCTTCTCTCTGTATTTCTCTCTCTCTCTCTTTTCCTCTCTTTCTCTGTTGTCTCTCTATTTCTCTCTCTTTCTCTCTCTATCTCACTCTCTCAATTTTGGTTTTTCTCTTTTTTCTTCTGTCTCCCTCTCTCTCTCTATTTCACTCTCTTTCTCTGTCTCTCTCTTTTATCCTCTGTCGTTCTCCCTTCTCAATCTATTACTCTCCCTTTATCTCTCTCTCTCTTTTCCTTTCTCCATTCTCTCTCTCCTGTCCTCTGTCTTTTCCTTTCTAACCATCAACCATCTTCCCCTCTCTCTCCATCTCTTTCTTTCTGTCTCTCTCTCTTGCTCTCATTATTTCTATCCATCTCCCTTTCTTTTCTTCTCTAACCATCTTTCTCCTCTCTCTCTCACTCTCTATCCGTTTCTTCTCTATCTATGTCTCTCATCTTCTGTCATCCTCCTCTTTCTCTCTCTCTGCCCCTCTACACCCTCTATACGTATACCTATTCCTTCTCTATCTCTCTCTTTTCTTCTGTCTCCATTTTCTCTCTATCTCTGCCCCTCTGCTCTCTCTCTCTCTCAGAGGCTCAGAGGAAGTATGAGGATAACTGTGACTCCCTCCATGAGGAGTCTATATCAGAGACGGCAGAGAACTCGGCCGAGGAGGCGGGGGAAGGGCCACTGGACGCTGAGGCCGGAGAGATGACTGACGGAGGAGAGGATGATTACGACGAAGAGGGCAGCACTGATCTGGTACGATCTCCTCCACTGAGGGTCCAGTGGGATGGGATAGGTGTGGTGATGTGAGTGGTGACAGCGGTGGGGTTCAGCAGTCTGGGCTAAAGGAGCGCTCGTCCTATTAAACGTAATGCAGCAGAATTATTCATAACCACAGATCTGAGCTCTCGGTTGCACGCGAGTGCACGGCGCGGGCTGACGGGTCCCTGCTGGTGTGACTCCTGTCAGCACTGGGGCAGGTCTCTCTTTACCACCCGCTGTCACACACAGTAATTAAAACAGAGCTGAGAGCGCGGCCTGACTGCACTGGGACTGATAGCAGAGCGGAATTAAGATGGAGCGAAGTGCTGGGCAGGGGAGCACATTTAACAAAGACACTGCGTTTCTTAAATGAAGGAAATGAGGGAGAGAATGTGCAAGAGAGGAGCTTTTAAGCGTCTAGAGTCTAGAAGAACATGCAGATAATGGAGTCACAGAAGGTGTCATGGCACACAACCTTTAAAGCAAGGCTCGTAAAACTATTTTATATTGTAGTGGGCACAATATATGGTATACTGCATATCCTGGTAATGGTAGCAGGCAAAAATATTGTCTAACTTTTAGCAGTATTAATAGATAACAAAAAACTGCAATGTGTGTCATTTACAGTGTTTTTCAGATTGTTTTGAAAGAACAGTTTAAAGGGAACTGCACCGATTTTGCAAAATTACTTAATCATTCAGTGGTTTAGATGTAAGCAAAATCATTCAGAGTGTGAAATGTGCCTTTCAAGAAGAATTTACCAAGTCAAAATTGATCACTATTATAATAATAGGAACCAGATGTCTGAAGCATTTAACGGCTCTAAAAGCTACATCCCATTAAGTTATTACACAAAATGGTTGTGATTGCATTGCTTGATACCTGAGACATTGTTTTGTGATAGTTTTGTCATGAAAGTTTTGGCCTAAAACGTATTTTTACTATAAACTTTCACTCCAGGATCACTTCTGTGTTTCCTCTCAAAACCACATTCTCAAATGAGATCAATATGTGCAACCTAGTGTGCTTTTGTTGTTACTAGCCTGTAGCAGCAGCTTTTGTTTACAGTTCATTTTTACAGTTTTCTTACTTCAAAGTTGTTCACCTTCGGTACTTATGTGTAGCTTCAAAACAATTGGGCACAACTTTCAGGATTTCTGGTACTTGTAATGGCAACCAAAAAAAAGCACTGTCCTGTATTTTCTCCATTTATTTTTGCATCCTGGTGCAGCGCAGTTCACCAGCACTCTGAACAATTAACCAGCAAGGTGCAACTGTGATCTATCGCAGCTCCTCTGAACTCATATCAGCTCTGAGTTTTGCTGACTGTGCGACAAAAAGGGTGGAGAGGTACATGCCGGGCATTGTGAGGAAAAAATAGTACCCAAAGAAAATTAATTTTTTTAATTTAGCACTATTTTACCATTATCAGCATTTAAAACCATTTCAAACCTTATAAGACACATGTAAGTTCACTGGTCATTTTGGATAGCGGATAAAATGGTGACATTTGTAGTGTAGACATAACGATGTTTGGTTCCTAGTACTACAGTGGTGAAAAATTTTGAATCTGTAAACACCAAACCACTCTGAAAGATTTTATTTACATCTACACCATTGAATAATTAAGTAATTCTGCAAAATTGGTGCAGTTCCCCTTTTAAATACATAAAAACTAAATAAATGCTAAGTTCTCCCAGTGATCCATTCTGACAATTTGATTCATGTTTATTTTGGCCAGAGTGAAACATATCAGCATGTAGAATCTATAACTATATATCACTGTATATAAGCTACACGAGGCTTCCTTTATTGTTGGGTGCACTGTGATTTTCTTCAGAGCGAGCATGCAAGCTCATTTAGAGATTAGTAAGATTACTAAGAGCTTATAATTGATTTGATGTGTGACATACATTATATTCCTATTTAAGTATTTTCTTATTCAAAATGTCACTTTGTGAGGCAAACTAAATACTTATCTATGGATTTTTGGCATGGTTAGATCTCCTTCTTTACATCAAATGAATACAACTACAGTACTGAGAAAGTGAGTAATTAAATGATAGAAGTAGCCACTTTTTGCATCAGCTTTAAATGATTAACATTGACCAAATTGAATGAGGTTCATTTTCCATTTTTAAGAGAAAGAAACAAGATGTGTCAGGATAGTAAGACTTTGAAGCATGAAGTAGCAGTATTGAGGAAATAGATGCTCATTTACTTCAATAATAAAAGTATGGACACTCCCCTGTCAAAATACATTAAATAAACCATAATTGTTCATCAAAATGTGCAGCAGTGTGTTCTCTGAACTTAGTTTCACTTAAATCAGCAAAACTTGTAATTCAATCTGGGGCACCCAAACTTTTGCATACAACTGTATCACCTAATACTGTGATATACTTGGAAAATATTATGATTTTCATGGTATTTTATCAACATCACCCAGAACTGATCTAATCTATCAGTTTCACTGTTATTAAAAGATACAATGTTCAGAAATGCTTATAAATTCTGGAACAACCTATATAGGCTCCCATTGTTTGCTTTAATTAACTGCAGAGTTTGGAGGCCATTCAGCAGGCTCTGTGGCTGTGGGTGAAGTTGGAAGAGCTCACAGACACGGCTCTCTGCCTCTCAAGTTCGCTCACCTACATCAAAGGCATAATGACTGTCTCATCTGGGTTCATCTCTGGTTCAGTGTGGCCACACATTCTCTTAAATTTATTAGCCCATTTAAAGGGCATCTTGAGTGAGCCGTGAGCGATGTGAACCTTCTCTCTTTAATGGAAGATAATATTTTCCAGCAGCAGTCTGTTTCCGACAGACATTCATCTTTATCAAGGTCATCGTCATCCCAGCTAACAAAAATGCACCCTGAGGAATCTTCCTTTTAGTCTTACGGAACTTGATTTGCATCTGTTGCAAGAGAAAAGTACATTAAGAGATGGGAGGAATTATCATGCTTTTCATCTGTTGTCTTTATCTTTCCTCTACAGATAGAGAACCATGTGTCTGACATAGACAACTGAGGTAAGACGACCTTGAATCTTTAGGTACTGGATAATGACGATGTTTTTAGTGTCTTTCATGACTTAATTACACTGATTTCAGAAACAAATGAGCCTACACTGAGCAGAACCAATATTTTAACATTTCTATTCTTGCGTTCCAGCACCAGCATAATGCTCCTAAAACAGGACACAACCAAAAAACAGTTAATTCCGCTATTTTACAAGGGCCATGTGTAGGCCTGATATTATAAAATAGCAGGTTTGGAAAGCTATTAAATCTGGCAGCATACATGGGCTACACATAGGCTTTTACTGTTGGTAAACCAGTAAATTAGTCCAACATATAGCTTTGAAATGGCCCATAATTATGTACTACAGCTGTGGCCAGATCTACCATGTGAGTGACTTGGATGACTGTCCAGGGGCACCAAAAGGTTTTTCCAAAAAACACATCTTAAATGATTTTAATCATTTTAATTAATATATCACCTTTTGAAATATTCAGTTTACTTTAAATCTGTTCACACACCACAACAGTCAGCCTGATAGTCCAGTCAGAAATTCAAAAGTATTATCATTGTATAAATTGTGGGTAGACATGTGGGTAAAACATAGACAGGATCATTTTAGCATCTTATAGTGATCTTCACGAGTGAGCTGATGCCCTTTCATTGGCATACCTGACTGATCTTGACAAGGTCTGAGATCAGCTGGTTCAGTTTGGGTATTTTGTGAACTGACAGAAGAAATCTTCAGCAAAACTAAGATCTTTTCAGCAAATGCTCATAGGTTATTATCAGTGGGTTTGTGGGGATATGTCACTATAGCTCTAATGCCAGGGACACCACGTGATATTAATCTGACCTTGACTACAGGTTGTCATGATCAGGGCTGTTTATAAACATTTGGGGGGCTGAAATGAAATATGACTTTCCCAACTGTATTATTTTGTATGTAAGTGCAAATATAAATTAAATATAATAAGTTTCATAAAATGCTAAGGGAAACATGATAACAAATAACAAGATGTGGACAGTAATTAGTTCATTAGTTCTTTCCTAAGAATTTTCAGATGAGTTACATTTACTACATTACATTGCCCAGGTACACCGCTCAGGCATAACGTTATGACCACCTCTGTGTTTCTGCGCTCATTGTCCATTTTATCAGCTCCACTTACTATATAGGTGCACTTTGTAGTTCTACAATTACAGACTGTAGTTCATCTGTTTCTCTGAATACATTGTTAGCCCCCTTTTACCCTGTTCTTCAGTGGTCAGGACCCCCATGGACCCTCACGGAGCAGGTACTATTTGGGTGCTGGCTCATTCTCAGCACTGCAGTAACACTGACGTGGTGGTGGTGTGTTAGTGTGTGTTGCGCTGGTATGAGTGGATCAGACACAGCGGTGCTGCTGGAGTTTTTAAACACTGCGTCCACTCACTGTCCACTCTATTAGACGCACCTGCATTGTTGGTCCACCCTGTAGATGTAAAGCCAGAGACGATAGCTCATCTCTTGCTGTACAGTATGAGCTAATCATCCTCTAGTCCTTCATCAGTGGTCACAGGATGCTGCCCACAGGACGCTGTTGGCTGGATATTTTTTGTTGGTGGACTATTCTCAGTCCAGCAGTGACACTGAGGTGTTTAAAAACTCCAGCAGCTCTGCTGTGTCTGATCCACTCAGACCAGCACAACGCACACTAACACACCACCACCACATCAGTGTTACTGCAGTGCTGAGAATGATCCACCACCCAAATAGTACCTGCTCTGTGAGGGTCCATGGGGGTCCTAACCACTGAAGAACAGGGTAAAAGTGGGCTAACAGAGTAACAGATGAGAAACAGATGGACTACAGTCTGTAACTGTAGAACTACAAAGTGCACCTATATAGTAAGTGGAGCTGATCAAATGGACAATGAGCATGGAAACAAGGAGGTGGTCATAACGTTATGCCTGATCGGTGTATATTTGTGAGATAAGTACTCTAATTTTTACATTAATTATTAACATAGTTCCACGTTCCATATTGTTACTTGACTGGTCACATGGTCATGGTCATATGGTCGAACCAAGTGCAAGTGCAGTGTTGCAAATTGTCTAATGCATGTTTATCCTCTTTGAGTACTCAACAACAAAATTAACAGGTTAGTGAAAATATATTGAAAAATATAATATATTAAGACCAGACCAGACCAGCTTATTTCACTCTCATTCTCATGAGTGCAGCGCTACAGCAGTGTTGGTTTTCTGTTTAATACATAATTTAAAGTAATGAGGTTTTATGTCAGGAAAATGGCTTTAGTAAATTCAGTTTAGCTTAGTTCTTCACCCAGAAACAATGTAAACATTCAAAACACAACAGCTATTATGGACATGGAGAAGCTATATACATAGTCTATGCTGCACAACACATATTAAATTAATGGGGTGATTCTAAAGACATTTGGAAGTTTGGAGATAAGACATAAACAATAAGCAAGTTCAGATTCTTATTACATAGTTTTTAACCAGTAACAAAGATTTCAGTTTAACCTATGGATGATTCCAGTTTTCATTTTTGGCTTTTGAGGTTTCATGGTTTATGGGCTATATGTTCCGTCAGATCAACGTAGAAATGTATTACAAACAAACAAACGCGGTAATTGCTTTCATTCCAGTCAAATTAATTGATTAAAAATTGAGGCAAAGCTTAATAATGTTTAAGATGAACAAAAGCAATGTTTTTCATGAGTTCTAATCAAACCCTATAAGATTAAACCTCTGCCACTTCCATTTTTTACAGTGTATGCAAAGTTCCAGGCTTTGATTTTTTTTTTCCCTTCTTGATAAACAACTTGGCCTGCTAACAGTAGGGAGAATTAGCCAGTTAGCATCAAGGGAATCCAGACAGATTCATTTGAACATATATCTAACAGACCTAATTAGATCTAATTGTTTGGTCTATGAAGCTCGCTGGACTTGACAAATAGTGTTTTCCTAGCCAGGCAATGATTTTTTTTTTTTTCTATTATTGAGTCATTTTCATTTTTAATTTATTTTTATCTATTTATTACAGCTTGTATTCTATTTCCTTTATGTTTTTGAGTCAACGCTATACATACACTTCTTGCAGATTGCACTAAAGAAGTATTGAACTGAGATTTTATCATAAAATACTTTACTCTCTGTAAGATATGGCCATTAGATGAGTGTTAGATCCCAAGTACGAAGCCAGAAATTCATATTTGTCACAAATCTGTGTGCTATGAAGAGTCTTTTCTCTTGCCAGGCCATGTCAAAAGGGAAATCAGCGCTGCTTTGAACAGTCTCTGGGGGGAAAAGAAGGAAGACATGGAACTGTAAAAGAGCCAAAAAAACAGAAAAAGAAAAAAAAGAACTCACAACTCCTCTTTCAGAGAGACAATGCAGCAGGCATGATTGGTCCCGGTGAGAGGCAGAGCAGTGTGTTTTCACGGACAAATCTCTCACCGCCATTCAGCATCTGTTGCTCAACATTTCGCAGGCCTTCATTTGAATACCGTGAAATATTCATTCTGTTGAGGTCAGACCCGACACTACTTGTATGGATTGAAAATAAAGATGAACTACTGAGGCCTGACTATGAGCTTCTTAAAGTGGTTTTAAACATACAGTACAGTTTGTTGTGACATTATACGATGCATATTTTTTTGCTTGTTTGTTTTTTTTAGTCTCGTAAAGTTCCAGCTCGAACAACTGTTTTATTTTTGTTAAATGTCTAAATTGAATTAAACCTAGATTTTCATCTGTGTGATAATCCATGTAAATCTGCTGGCATACCCGTCAGACAATGGAATACAGTGTTAAACAATGCAGTGGTGGCATTAAGACTGAAAAAAAATGTTCCCCTCAGATTTCCTGTTGCTCTCCGGCTCACGCGTTTGTGTTGCTGAGGATTGTTCCGTTCTGCAGACGTGATTCACACTGAATGGAGGAGAGATGCTGGAGGAGAGCAGCTGCTGCTCTGCTGCTGAGGCTTCCCTCCAGCCAGTACTGCCTTGTGTCTGTTTGCAGTCATCCTCACATCCTCAACACCTCCCTCTATCTCTCTCACTCTTTCTATCTATCTATCTATCTATCTATCTATCTATCTATCTATCTATCTCTCTGTCTGTCTGTCTGTCTGTCTGTCTCTTTATTTCCCAAAATGTCTTTCTTTCCCTCTCTTAATGTCCCTCTCTCACTCTCTTCATCTATCCATCAAAATGTCTCTCTCTCTCCCTCACTTGTGTCTGTTTAGTCATCCTCACATCCTCAACTCCTCTATCTGCCTCTCACACTCTGTCTATCTATCTATCTATCTATCTATGTATCTATCTCTCTGTCTGTCTGTCTGTCTGTCTGTCTGTCTCTTTATTTCCCAAAATGTCTTTCTTTCCCTCTCAAAATATCCCTCTCTCACTCTCTTCATCTATCTATCAAAATGTCTCTCTCTCTCCCTCTCTTGTGTCTGTTTAGTCATCCTCACATCCTCAACTCCTCTATCTGTCTATCTATCTATCTATCTATCTATCTATCTATCTATCTATCAAAATGTCTCTCTCTCTCCCTCTCTTGTGTCTGTTTTGTCATCCTCACATCTTCAACTCATCTCTCTCTCACTGTCTCAAAATCTATCTATCTATCTATCTATCTATGTAACTTTAAAAGTTTAAATCTTCTATCTGCCATCTATCTTTCTCTTTCTTTTTTTCCCTCTCTAAATGTCTTCTTTCCTCTCTCGCTCCCTCTTTCTCTCACCCACTCCATTTCTCTTTCTCGTGTGGTCTATAGCAGTGCTGTCATCACCACCTCAGGTGTTCTGTCCTCACACAGAAGCTTCAAGTAATGATGTTCACTTTAATGTTTCATTGTTCACACTCCATTAATTCAAAAGATGTCCAAACATTGGGTTTGTTCCATGAGCCAGTGCTGCACCTGTTCGTAAAAGGCAAACTTTTAAACAACAAATCCCCATTCGGTCCATACTGGGCACAGTCAGTCCGTGAAAACTAGCCCAAAGACTTTCAGCACGCTACTGCCATACCAGCTCTACTGATTCAGTTCTGTCACTCACACACTTGCTGTAAGTTTAGAAGTTAACTAGCGTCGTGTTCATGTTTCTCTGTTTAATCGGTATGTCATTCTCTGTGACTACAGTTCCCAGACTGAAGTAGTATGTTTAACTGCAGTAAATGTGTCATTGCATTCTTGTGCATAGCTGTGCGTGAGGAGTCCAAGTGACATATACAGAATTCAGACACTTTTACGTATTTGCTACCGAGATAGCATGTTTAATAGATGACGAATTGCAGTTACACCACATTTCAGTTTCCACTGCTACCACCTGCTATTCATTATTATCTACCTTGATAATGAACTATGAGCTCTCTATTTTTGTATGGCAAATTTTGATTGGAGGTAAAAAGGCTTTAGAAAGTTCAGCTTTTTCTTCTTTTTTTCTGATGACTTAACTCTGCCTCTGCTTCTGGCTTCTGTATAATGTACTCAAATGGAGAATGTGAGGAAACAGATGTAAACAAGTAAAAAAAATGTAGTTCACATTGTGGGGATTTTATGTGTTTATTCACTCATTGTTTTTTTTATCTAATATTTCAGAGAATATGAACTATGATTATATACAGTCTATGGTCAGATACTGGTCCTCTGAAAGGCCCAAGGACACAAACAATTGAATAAAAAAAACATGTTGTATAGAAATGTAAACTATTTGTAAAGCTATTTTTTATGATAAGCATGTTTATCAGTTTCATGTACGTTTGTTTTCATTTTAGTTGTTGCATTTGTTGTATGGCTTTAGGCTCCACTGCATAGGAAAAGAGCACTATTAAAATCATTGTATGTGAAGCTATTAGTCCGTCGTATTTTTTTTGGCCTGGTATGAGCACAGTCATGCGGAGCAACCATAGCCAAGAATTCTCCTTTTTAAAAGATTCATGAATCATAAATCATGCCGTCTGGCATTTGCCATGGAATGGTAAGGAAACACGTCTTAGGGATATTATTGCTTCAGAATATCGCAGCATGAATAGTCAGATTAAGTCTGTTTGCGTGATTGGTCATGACGGGTAAGAAATTTCTGGTCTGAATAGAAATTGGAAATCTAGGTCTAATATTGTAGAAAAGAAAAATAGAAACATAACCATTCAAAATGCAAAATGTAACAATGCAGGAATAGAAGAGAGAAGAAAGAAGCCCATTCCATACAGTTATGACTCCTTTTCAAACAGTTAATCAACAGACAAACAAGCAAACAGTATTGAGCATGCACAATTGCCTGTTCCGCTTATTATTGAAGCGTACAATCTAAATCTTACATAAAATCTATCTACCTATCTATCATATACAGAAGTTTGAACACCCCCACTCAAATTACATTTAACACCAGGCCACATTTTATATTGTATCTATTTCTCTCCATTATGTTAAATTCAGCAAATAAACAGAAACAGGGCAGTAAAATGTTCAGAATTCTGAATTCTGTTCTCTGTAGAACATGTTTTAGCTTATTAAAAAAATCAACAAAATGTCATTTGACTGGGGCATCTGACTGTGCACATTATGACCACCTCCTTGTTTCTACACTCATTGTCCATTTTATCAGCTCCACTTACTATATAGGTGCACTGTAGTCCATCTGTTTCTCTGCATACTTTGTTAGCCCCCTTTTACCCTGTTCTTCAGTGATCAGGACTCCCATGGACCCTCACAGAGCAGGTACTATTTGAGTGGTGGATCATTCTCAGTACTGCAGTAACACTGATGTGGTGGTGGTGTGTTAGTCTGTGTTTTTGTGTTTTAAACACTGTGTCCACTCACTGTCCATTCTATTACACACACCTGCGTTGTTGGTCCACCTTGTAGACGTAGAGCCAGAGACGATAGCTCATCATCCTCTAGTCCCTCATTGGTGGTCACAGGACGCTGTCCACAGGTTGCTGTTGGCTGGAAATTTTTTTGTTGGTGGACTATTCTCGGTCCAACAGTGACACTGAGGTGTTGAAAAACTCCAGCAGCACTGCTGTGTCTGATCCACTCAGACCAGCACAACACACACTAACACACCACCACCACGTCAGTGTTACTGCAGTGCTGAGAATGATCCACCACCCAAATAGTACCTGCTCTGTGAGGGTTCATGGGGTCCTGACCACTGAAGAACAGGGTAAAAGGTATGCAGAGAAACAGATGGACTACAGTCTGTAACTGTAGAACTACAAAGTGCACCTATATAGTAAGTGGAGCTGATAAAATAGACAATGAGCGTAGAAACACAGACATAATGGTCATAATGTTATGCTTGGTCGGTGTATAATGAAAGACGACAAAAAATGGAGATACAAGGTTTTGTTCCGACAGCAGCTATATGTATATATGTTCCCCACTTGGTAGTTCGAACACTCAGAGATTGAAAATGACGTAATTAAGAGTTTCAGCTTATAAGGCAAATGAAGAATTAGAAGCACATTGCACATAACAGGATGAAGAGGTCCCTTGTTAAAGAAAGTGTATTTTAAGTATAAAGGTTTTTAGTGTTTACACTTAATACATACTATATGCATTCTTTTTGTGACAAGTGTGTCATATTGTAATTGTATATCTTTTTTGAACAACTTAATTTAAGTACGTACTAAATACAACTCATATTATGCTTTTAAATAAATATACTATTCGGTTACTGATACACATATTAAATATTATATGCTATAGTGTTATTTAATACAAGTTATATGAGTTATACGAATACATGGACACCATGACATCATACATGAGTGTCTGCAAAGACAGCTGCATTTTAACCACAGCACAGCACCATGGCTTTCAGCTGAACTCAGACATCTGTGAAGGGAAAAGGAGGCAGCATTCAGGAGCAGGGATAGAATTCTGTACAAAGAGGCCAAATACAAGGTGGAGAAAGGGACTTAGGCAACAAAGAAAAATACTCATAAAAGCTGAAAGCCACATTGCTTTTAATGACCCTACTTCAGTCTAGAAAGGCCTCAAAGAGATGACTAACCAAAAGGTGAGAAAAAATCCACTCTCCAGCTCTGCTCTGATCAACTAGCAGCTATTATCACAAAAATCGCAGGAACTTTGCTCTGTTACCACATGCTTCAAAACCTTAACCATTAAAAATGAACTTTCCTGGACTTAAAGACTACAGGCTAGCAGCCCTGACTTCTGTAGTCATGAAGGTCTTTGAACACCTGGTCCTAGCCCTCCTGAAGGTCATTACAAACCCTTTGCTGGATTCTCTGCTGTTTGCATACAGGGCTAATAACTGATGATGCGGTTAACATGGCCCAGCACTTCATGCTACAACATCTTGACAGTCCTGGAACTGACACTAGAGTTCTGTTTGTAGGCTTCAGCTCGGCTTTCAACGCCGTAGTGCCAGAGCTGCAGCAGGTCAAACTGTCCCAGCTGTCTGTGCCAGATCCCATCTGCCAATGGATCATGGATTTCTTGACAAACAGGATACAGCAGATGCAGCTTGGAGAACACACATCAGACCCTCGGACCCTCAGTACTGGAGTTCCACAAAATTGTGCTGTCACCCCTTTTCTCCCGTCTCTACAC